ACTAGGTGCTCATTTATTTATTTTTGGAAACATATAAAGAACTTAGTATCTCTGCACAACTTTTCTTCAGAAGTTGAAAACCAAAATTCCTTTTCTTCAGGTGCATTCACTCATTCATCTCCCAGATCAATATTTATGACCTCCCAGGCCCCTGGACACTCCAGAGAGCAAGACAAGTGGCGAGAAGGCACCCTGATTCTGTGCATCGTTGCCTTTTTAAATGGAGATCGATTGGAGATCAAATGTGTAGCTAAAATTATCAGGCCACTGCAGGGCTCAGGTCTCTGTCATTTGGGACTGGAGGAAGGGATGTGTGTTTTAAAATAGCTTGACCAAGTGGATTAGAACAGTGATCAATTAACTATTCATAAGCCAAGGTTCAGGCCACACACACACACACACACACACACACACACACACACACAGAGCAAAGAAAAAGTTTGCTTTGCCTCCGTATCTTTCCCCCCAAATCCTCCTATTCGTTTGCAGGAATCAAGAAAGACCCCATATTGATATTTGCTCCCAAAGGCAACATATTTAGTGCCTCACATTACTTTATATTTTCTGAACTTATGAGAAGCTCTTAGAGAGGGAGAGTCAAATTAGCTGGAAGGATAATGCCACTGAATGGTATTTAATAATGGTTTGATAAGGTTTCTTTCCCTAACAGGCAAGATAAGCAATGAGTTAAAGCCAGAGCACTTGCTTAGTATCCAAGGCAATTAAAAAAAAAGGAAAAGAACAGAAATTCAATTTCCCTTCCCCAGCTAAACAAAAACTCTAGGTTTTATACTCCTTCGACCTAGATATACTCCAAGAGATCATACAGAATGTTCCTAGGGAAAAAGAGACCTCAACTGAGCTGTTCAGCCAAGTCTTCAGCTTAGAAGATGTCTTCACAAGGGAATATTGAAACAGACACAGAAAGAGGTTTCTGAGATAGAAACAGTGATCGACCTTAAACAGGCCTCCATTCGGCAGGAGAAAGCTGTGGCCACACTGACTCAACCTCCCGTTACCTGCTTATAATAACACAGGATCCAGGCGCTTCTCTTCACACCAGCGCTCTGAATTCCCACCAGGAAATATCACTTTTCAGAGAAGAAAAAAACCAAACACACTCTCCTGTGCAGTCAGTGACGGGTGATGGAATGGGGAGGCGGGAGAAAGCAGGGTCAGGAGGGCTGTGGAGCTTTTCCATTGTTTGACCCAGTACAACAAAATTCTCCATTTTGCAGATCGGAGACATGGAGCTGCAGGATTTCAAGAGCTTGTGCTGAGCCGAAATCGGTAAATACCTCCTCCGTGAAGACAGCTTTCAACTCCAGCTTACAAACTGTGCTAAATAATGAATGATGTAAATTAGACTGCTTTCTTTATTAACAAGTCCAGTGTGGCTTATGTAACCACACTCAAAATGTAAATGAATGGTTCTTAAATGCAGGGAAAGCACAGTCCAAAGTTCCAGAATCCCCAGTGGAGAAGCTGAGAAGCAAGTATCAGAGGAATAAAGACTGATGCCTTTCACTGAATCCTGGTGAATGCTAGGATTTTTTAAAGTACAATTAATTGCAATGGCAAAGCTTGTGAAGGTGAGGGGTCCCAAACCAATGGCACAACATTACAGCTGCTTAACCAGGCCAACAATAAACTGCACATAGATGCTCTGAGAAGAGAAGCTTCAATTCTGTTTGTGTTGTGCTAAAAAAATATTACACTTGTTTACAAATATTACCCCAAATAAGAGAATAACACTTATGAAATTCAGAAAAAGATCCCTGCTGGCCTTCACAAAACATGTACAATATAGAAATCCATGCCTTGCCACAGAGAGGGGGAAAGATATAGTTAACACTACTGTCCTGAACACTGACAAACAGTTAGGGTGGTACATCTATATTATGTTTCCTACCACAGTAACAAAACAATCCCTAACTTATTTTAACCATGCCTTTTATCACCTGGATGAGACAGAATTTGCCCTTTGCTATGCATTTTGGCATGTGACATAACTGAGACTTAAATGGCCAGTTACATAATTAACAACAGCAAGCTTCACTCTCAAATTCCACTTCTGTGTGACACTGGCATAGGTTTTCAACTTAATTTAGTGCTGCTGTGGTGTAATCAATTCCAAATATCTGGAGTGACCACTCACCAGGGTGATAATAAGCAGGCACAGCATCTGTCTATAGAAAGAGATGCATAGCACCAACTATGACACCCTAGTGAGGAAAGGATCTAAAACAATACTCTGAAGGGAAGATTTTTAATAAAACAAGTTGTAACAGTGACTCTGATAGCAGTATGTCAGCTTAACTTGAAATATGCCTGCAAACACAAAAGTATCCAACTTGTAAATTAATCTTTGCATATATTTTTTAAATGTTCTGCCACTGGCTCTCTTTGAACCCTAGAGTATGGTGGTTTTATATTAAGATACTAGATTAGACACTAAAAGATACACTATGTTTAATTTGTTGCTTTATCGAGTTCTAATGACAGATTTCATACATTATTCCTGCTTCCAAAAAATAAAAACATGTAACCTCCGCTACATACCAGCAAACTAAAACATTACTGTTTTAGGGTTACCCCTGGATTAAAGAACAAAGTTTTAAAAATTTGTAATTTGGTTACAATTGTAGCTTATATCCACTGGCCAAGCATCTCAAAACAAATATCAGTATGTAAGAAAAAGAGCACAGACAGTGTCTTATAAGGATGAAAATGAAACAAGCTCATCTGTTGGTGTCATTGTGAGATCACAAAGGCAGAATTCAAAAGCATTTTATGATGTGCTTTCCAAGCAAGTATCATAGCAGGTTTCACAGACAGACACGGGAACAGCAGCTGCCTGAGCCTGAGCGCAGCTGAGGAACAGGTAGGCAGAGGCACCTTCCCGGACCTGGCATCTCCTGGCCTGACCAAGGCCACTAGTTAATTCCCTACAGCCCTCCCAGCTCCCCCAAACCCACTGGACTTCCAAATCAGAAAGAGAAGAAAGGATGAGCAGAAACTGCCAATGCTGCGGCAGAACGGGTGACTACGACAAACTCTCTGGTAAATATCTTAAAAATCCATTTAAAAAATCGGACAGGAACTTGCCATCAGATACCAAAGAAACAATTGTGAGAACAAATACAAGAAAGCTCAGTTCATACCCATTGATTTAATATATACATCAAACAGCTAAGACTTTGAAAATGTGAAATAATAACTTTTTAAATGGAAAGAATTTTATTGTTTCCTTAGCTGATGGCCTTCAAAAATCAAAGTGAAAATCATCAGCCATAGCCCGCTTCTTTCGCACCACACGTCTATCATCTGGCACAGACTTGAAACCCAATCAAGAAGGGAAACCCCCCGTTTAACTGTACAAACGCCCTCCCCACAGTCTCCAGGCAGCTTGAAAGGCCCAGAATCCCACGGCCTCCTCCATTTGACTACTGTCTGACACCATCTCGTGAAAAAGACACAGATTCTGACCAAAAGGTCCCTGACTCTTTGGACCAGCCTGCTGAGCTTCAGCCTGCCCGGCCCAAGGCCAGCACAGTTGGGGTTCTACCCAGCCTTCCTCTCCCACCCGCTGCCGCTCTCCTGCCAGAAACACTGGGGTGCTGGCATCCTGCACAATCCCCACAGGCGGCTGCTCTGCGAATCTCAGCTGTGCCAGGCCAGCCTGCTCCCCGCGGCTTTGTTGTCATTTCCTTGTCTCTAGCCTCACAACAGAACAGACAGCAGAGACCAGGAAGGTCTCTTACTTACATTAAAAAACAGGTTATCTTCGTCAACTACGCTGGCAGAAACGCGGTTGTGCATTTTCTGTGGGGGGAGTAAAAGCATGCGCACTTGGCAACCGGAAGGCCACAGCCCGAGCCCTACTTTCAAGGCTTCCTATCTCAGCATCAAATCCTGTGAAGAAAATCAAGGGAAACTTCGCCTTGTAATTCTCTGCACAGGTGAATACAACCACACATTTATGAAATGTATGAAGTGGCAAAGTCCCTAAGACAGAAAAATGCATTGCCTTCTGCAGAGGTGACCTAGGAATGCTAGAAAAAAGACATTGAGTTCTTGCCTGGTAATGTATTTGTCACCAGGCCTTCAGAACAGACACACAGCCCTGCTTCTCCATCAAGCTAGGACAAGTTGTATCACCTTGGGGGACACAGAGGTCCAGGGCTGGAGCCAGCATTCACCCGAACCTACGCACTACTTCATGGTCCACCTAGTCCTGAGATGGTATTCAACAGACAGTTAAGATTCATAATCCAAATTGGCTCAAAATCATATCTCTGGGAAGTCAAGTCCAAATTAAATCAGACCAGGCTTTTAGGCTGCCAACGATCACATTTTCTCTTTTGAGCGAGTGCATTTCAACACTCAGAACTTCTCCTTTTACTGAGAGATCATTTTCAGGGCTATCTCTGGATAAAACCTCCTAAGCAAAATTTGATAGATGAAATGAGAAGGGAAACTGGTTAACTCTGAGCCTCAGAGAAGGCTGTCAAGGAGACTTTCCTTCCCTTCAACAGATTTCTGAAAGTTAATTATTTTAACCTCCTTTCTAGTAAATATTACTGGAACTTCTGCTAACAACATACATACAGCATTTTATGAAACAAAAATGCCCAAAACCAAGTTATTGCATGTGAAAAGCCTAAAGCACACTCAGCAGATCTTCAAAATATAAAATGCACGTAGAATTCCTTCCACAAGGAATATATATATATATATACACACACACATATATATATACACACACATATATATATACATTTCTATTATTGGCACATAGATATAAGTAAAACTGCAGAGCTTCTCCCTGCCCTAGCAGTCTCAGCCACTGAAACAGGTAACTGACCGTCGCCCCATGCCTGCATCTCTGCTCTGACTTCTCCACACTCTTGGGACAGCATTCACATCCAGGACGTATGCCTAGCCAGCCTGAGCCCTAGGGTCCAGGCAAGAAAGGAGGAAGAGCACCAGGAACTCACATTTCTGTGATGTTCTCCGGGTCTGCACTGTTGGGCTCCAACCTCGGAAATGCCACGATGCCAGGAGAAGGGTCGCCGCACCAAATCCGAGAGGCACTGCATTTGCAGGACTGGGGACAGGCGAGAGCGGATCTCCAGAAGCCCACAACCAGCCAGCAGAAGCCCCAAAGCCGCGCCATGGCGGGTCCATGCCACCTCGTCCAGCTCGACATCCCTAGTCGCAAGTGCCAGCCGGGGTGCGTGTCCCCGCGCCGCACCCACCGGCTTCCCCTGCTGGAGCTGGGAGGCCTTCCTGCACTTTCTGCCGTCTGGACGCTTCTGTGTTTGTCGCGGGCTCGCGCAGAGTCCAGGGTGTCCAAGGCTGATATCCCGGGCTCAGCGTAAGGAGGCAAGGTTCACAGTGGCTGGGGCATCGCGAGGTGCTTCGCAGGGGGCGCTAAAGGTGCTCGCAACTCCGCCGTGGCCGCAGACGCATGGTTAGCACGCTGGGCACCAGCCCGCGGGCGCTGCGGATGCTCTAGGGCGCAGACTCCTGGCTAGACGCGCACGGGGATCCGGCACGCACCTCGGGGCTGAGGACAAACAGACACGCATAAGACCAAGTGCAGCACCCCATGTGCCACAAACTGGGACACATTCCTTCCGCACTCACCTCCCCCCCACCTGACCCCAGCCAGGAGACTGGATGGATGCGCGCTCGGCTCCGGCCTGGGAATCAACTGGCCCCATGGATGGCACTGATGCCACTGAGGCCACCCGTGTGCCCGCTGTCTCTCCAAGATTGAGGTCGAGGAAGGTAAAGTAGGGACAGGGCCCCCAGGACAAGATGCCGTGGCACAGGCCAGGCAAAGGGCTCTTTAAAGGGGAACACTCAGACTGCGGGCAGCCCTGACTCCACGACGGAGCCCCCAGTGATGCTGCAGAATCCACCATGGCCGCAGGCGCGGGGGGCGCGGGCAGGTGGCGCGGGAGCTGCTGCGGCCGCCCAGAGGCACCGCGAGGGCCCGAGGCGACCAAGGTCGCAGTCCGCGCGGCTCACCCAGCTCTGCGCCCGGGTCCAGGCTCCTCTTGCCGTTGGCTCGGAGCGCGGCGCGCGCGAGAAGGAGCGGCGAGGCTCCGGCTCCGGCTCCGGCTCCGGCTCCAGCCCAATTCCGGGAGCCGCCGCCGCCGCCGCCTCTGCTACTGCTGGCGAAGTGACGTGAGGGCTGACGCAGAGCAGGGGCAGAAACTCCAGAAAATTAGTCTGAAATCCAAAAACACACACGCTCATCCACACACAAACGCATAACACCCTCCAGACAAAAGCAACGGGGAGGGGAGGGAATCTGGGGGCGAGCGGGGAGGGGGAGGCTTCGGTGCGGTGCCACTGGCCGCGAGCAGACAGCAGCAGCGTGTGGGAGTTCACACACGCGCGCACACACACGCACACACCCCGGCCGTGTGGACACGCGCGTGCGTGCGTGTGTGCACTCAGATCCAGGTACCTCTGGCACGGACCGTTCCGCCGCTCGACGCCTCTCGGCCCCTAGTTCCCACAGAGGTCCCTTCTGCCACCACAGTGGAGACTGTCACCCTTTTAGAAATGGAAGCCGGGCTTGGTTCAGCCTGAAAAATGTGCTGATTCTTATTATAGGAACCTCCCCCTCCTCGCCCTCCCTGCTGCCTTCTCCTTTTCCTCTCTGCCTAAGGGGGACTGGAGCTAGCCCCAAATAAATAACACTAAACGCAAAAACGTGCTCTGCGCTGGCAACCAGGGGTCACTGCCCCCTTTCTGAGTCTCCTCTGTAGGGGTCGGTTGTTTGGGAGGGTCTTTCTGGGGTGCTTGTGCAGAGGGAGGGGAGTGTCCACATGCAACTCAGCTCTTTACGTGGGTCTTTTTCCTGCCCTTTTCTGCCGTCACACGTCCGCGAAATGGAGCCATGTGAGGGCAAAGGCGCCCGCCCGGGCGTGCAGGGCTTTACACTGCGCCGCGGCGACCCCAGCCCGTCTGGCGTGTGGCGCCACGGCATTTTCTCTCCTGCCCTAACCTGGATGAATCGGCCATTCCGAGCTCGGGGCTGCTTTCCCCGCGCTGCCCACCCCCACGCGGGGCATCGAGCCCTCGCTCCCCACCGTACCTTGCGTGCGTGCGGTGTGCGCGGACGCGTGCCCGGCGCCCTCGCTGCCCGGAGCACAGCGTGCATCCAGCTAAGGAGAACCCCGGAGCGGGCAGAGCCTCGGGGCCCACTGGGGACAAAGGAGGCCGTCCGGGAGGGGAGGGTCGGGTGTCAAACCGTAACTGCTGTGCGGGCGCAGTTAAATGGTGGCTGCGGGGCTTTCGCGAGTCTCGTCTGAGAATCCTTCTTTCCATTTGCGGCTCAGAGAATCTGTTTTTCCGCAGTCATTTAAAAGGGAACTAGGAAAATGCGCCGCAGTGCCTGACACTTCCGAGGGCTCTGGTGCCCCCGCGCGGGGAGACGGCGCCCGGCACGCTCCGGAGCACTAGCCCTGCGCCACCATAGTGGCGGGCACTGCGCTGGGCGCGCTCCGGCGCCAGATGCGCAACCTGCGGCGCCCGACGCGTGCGCGTCCCTGCCCGGCGGTGAGGCGCTCCGGCGGCCACAGCAGGCCTTGGCTTGGGAAAAAGGCGGCGAACCTCCGCCTCCAGGCCAGAGAGGGCCACGCGGGGTATAGTCCAAAACACAAGAAGGGTCACGGGTCACGGGTCACAGGCGGAGGATGGAAAGATAGGGAAACCAAAGGTCAGGGCGAGTGCTCGGTTCTCTGGGCCGCCTTACTTGTTACACGGGAAGGAAGCACAGCAGGGCTGCTGTCCAGGCTGTGGTCACTGTGAGTAACCAGGGCTGCTCTCCTGCAGCACTCAGAACTCCGCTGCAGGTCTGGCTCACACTGGTGTCCAGGGGCCAGAGTGAGGTCTAGCATCCTCAGCTCGGCCTCATCCAAGGAGAAGCCAAGGGCAAAACCCAGACCACGTGGTGAAACTCCACCTTTCAAGCGGAGAAACCCGGCGGAACTGAGAACTCCGAGTGGAGGCTCTGTGCATAACTTGCCGCACACCCCGTCTCTCAGACCCCTTTGTCCCCCACAAACAGCACAGTGTACCTGCAGCACCCAGAGGACTGGCAGTGTTACAGTGGTCCGCAAACCAGAAGAGTCTTGTTCGGTTGGGATATTTGTAGACTGTTTATTAGAATAGATGCATATTGCTATTTCATTTAGACTATATTCCATTGAGTACCTCCAACTTAACATCAGAATAGGCAAGCCCACTTCTAATCACACTTTCCCTGAACTCTTTAGTCCACAATAGTGTCTCCATTTATCAAATTATTTACTTATTTTATTTATTTTTATTTCTCTCAGTATAATTAAAAACTCCATGAAGGAGGGGAATTTTATCAATTTTGTTCATTGATATATCTCAAGGATATAAAATTGTGCGAATGTTGAATGAATCAATAAAATAAAGTTGAAATCCCAGTTTCTATACCTGTGGCTCTACTGTTTCCACTAAATAACTGCACCGGAACAGGTTCGTTTTCGCCTTCAAGATTCTGAGTCTTCCCTGTGTTCTGACCACTTCTTCACACCTCACTTTCTGCTCCTGTAGTAACCAGATATGTTCCAGCCCTAGGCAGGGAGGACTGGCCTTTCTTTTAAGCTAGTAATTCATAACTACCACACACAGTGTCTAGAACACTGTGAGACAGTCACTGTTTTTTAATTGATTGAATTATGGATCTAGTTCAATTTGAGGACCTACAAGCTATTTCCTGGAGATCATTACAGAGATTTTCAGACCCCTTTGTAGGATATGATACACATTTTTCAGATGGCTAATGAGGAATAAAGATGATTTCCCTGGACCCCTTCAGTGTACGGGTGGAGACTGTTACAAGTTCCTATTTCTACTGGACCATAATGATCTTAGCATAGGGTTTCTCAAATATTTGGACCATGGCTGTGACCATGAAAATGTCTTTTTCATCACAACCCAGTGCATACATAAATGCATATAACTTGAAAACACTTCACAGAAAACTTATGTACCCTTAGTACAGGGAATATGCCAATATTTTCTTTTTTATTCTTTACCATTTCAGTTTATACTGCTTTCAATAACCTAAGAAATTGATTTGACTCTCCAGTACTGGATTGTAAACAGATTTACTCTCTCAACCAATCAATACACTGAGGAAAATATATGAAGCAACAGTTTTTATAACGGAGGAAATAGTGAATGCTATGGCGCAGAATGGGAACTGAGGTAGAGTTCAACTACTTAAGTTGAGGACGCAGCTGAGAGTCAAGGGAAATCAAGACCAGAGTTCACAACAGAGAGGCAGAGTACCAGGTAATAATCTCAATTGACAACTTGACTGAATAATAGGCTCCTGGAAAGGTGACTGGGTGACTGGGTGGCTGGGCTGTGTGTGTGCCACAGCTGAATTGCTGGTAGAGGATGGGGCCTAGCAGAAAGAGTAGGTCTGAGGGTCATCCTTTGGAGGCCATGTTCCTCCCTGGCGCTCTCTCTCTCTGGGCTCTGCCCCTGCCACCTTGGAGTGAGCTGCTTTGCTCTACCTTCTGCCATTATGTTCCTGCTATAGAGCCAGTTGACCGAAACCATGAGCAAAAATAAACCCTTCCTCCTTTAAGTTGTGTACGTCTGGTATTTGGTCCCAGTGGCAAGAGAGCTGACTAATACAGGGAGCACTGCAGAGAGAGAGAATTCCAGATATCTGCAAAGTGTCCCACTTACGTATTTGGCAAAGTACTGACTAGCACATGGAGGAAGTGCACATGTAGGAGCGAAGCTACCTGAATCCAGGGAAAGGAACATTAAAAAGATTAAAGGGAATGAGGTCAAAGTAAAAATCAAAAGGGAAATTTAAAACACTACACACCAGACTTTGTGGGGCACCACTAAAGCAGTACTTAGGAAGAATTGTAGAGCACTACATGTCTATATCTAACCAATGACCCCAGCCTCTATCCTGAAAAGGAAAAGAAGAGCAAGCTAAACACAGCATAAACAGAAGAGAAGAAATAATACAGACAGGAGTAGAAAATAGTAAAAACAGAGAAACAGTAGAAAAAAATCAACAAAACTAAGAGCTTCTTTGAGATCTATAAAATTGATAAACATCTATTCAGACTGATCAGGAATGAAAGAGAGAAGTCACAAATTAACAACAGGGAAAAGCAATGATAAAAACACAAGATATTCTCTAAATATAATGAAATACTAAGGGTAGACTGTGAATAATTTTGTGCAAATCAGTTTGACACTTTAAATGAAATGAACATATTCTAGGAGGTACAAACTAACAAAGCACTCTATAGAAGAAATATATTACCTGGGTAATCCTATATCTAATGCAGAAATTGATTTTATAGTTAAAAAACCTTCCCACTGAGAAAACTCTAGGCCCATGTGGCTTCACTACGAATTATGCAAACTTTCATCAAGCTAAGAATAAAAGATAATACCCTCAATCAGTAAGTGGAATTTTTAAAAACATCTCTAGCTGGGCTGGGGATTTAGCTCAGTGGTTCCACCACCTGCCTTGGAAGTACAAGGTCCTGAGTTCAATACCCAGTACCAAAAAAATCTCTAGCTAGTGAAATACGTAAAGGGAGGACAAGACTACTTCTCTTCCATTATCAAAGAGTAGGTAATCCACTCTCACCTTTCTATTCAGCATTTTCCTGGAACTTTTAGTCAGTGCAATAAGGCAAAAAGAGAAATAACAATGTCCAGATTGGAAAGAAGATACGAATTACATAAAAAATTCAATATAATCTATCAAAAAGCTTCTCATAGTAATAGGTAAATTATCAAGTTTCCAAGATACCAGTTAAATACTTATCAGTTGATTTTATTTCTATATTTGAGCATCAAAAATAATGGATTAAATTTTTACAAATGCCAATTATAATGGCAACAAAAATCTGAACTAACACTAAACACAATTTATAAAAGGAAAAAGATGGATGTGTGAGATTTTATAAAAATTAATAGTTTCTGCTCTTCAAAGGATACTGTTAATAAAATGAAAAGCCACAAAATGGCATAAATATTTCCAAGTTACATATCTAATACAGAACTTAATCCAAAGTACCTAAAGAACTCTCAAAACTCAATAATAATAATTTTAAAAGTGTGCAAATGAGATAAATACATATTTCATCAAAGAAGATATGCAACTGCCAAATTGCACATGAAATGGTTCTCAGCATTGTTAGCCATTGGAAATGCAAATCCAAACTACAGTTAAATATTTATAGTTAATCAGAATGCACAAAGTGTAAAAGGTTGACCATATCAAGTGCTGACAAGAATGTGGAGCAACTAGAATTCTCCTGGACCTCAGGTAGAAGTATGAAATGTCACAGCCTCTTTGGAAATACAGAAAAACTTTAAAAGTTAAAATAAACACTACTTGACTTCAAAATGTAGTACAAAGCTGTAGTAATCGAAATAGCATGTCACTGGAATGAAGTAGACAATGTCCTAACAGAACAAGTCGAACAAAGAACCCCAAAATGAGCTCATACACTTACAATCAAATGATTTTTAGTAAAAGCAGCAAAATGACTATATGTATATATGTATGTATATCATCCTCAACTAGTGGTGCTGGGAAAACTGGGGCACACATGACGAAGACTGGGACTGGGCTCTCAAAATATATAAAAATTAACTCAAAATGGATTACAGACCTAAATGTAAAACCTAAAACCCAAATTTGTAAAACCACTAGAAGAGAACATAGAAGAAATACTCTGTGACATTAGTCTAGGCCAGGATATTTTGCACAATAACACAAATGCACAGATATTAAAAGAAGCAATAGATGGGATTGGATCAAGCTAAAAGGTTTCTCATAGCAAAGGAAACAGTCAATGGGGTGGAGGACCTACAAAATGGAAAAAAATATTTGTGAAACATATACCAGACAAGAAATTAATATCCAGGAAATAGAAACAGCTCAAAAGATTCAACAATAATGATAATCCACTTTAAATGAACAAATGATCTGAATAGACATTTGTCAAAAGAAAATATACAAATGGTCAATGAAGTATAGTATATTTTAAAATGTTTACCATCACTAATCATCAGGGAAATGCAAATATGAAAACAATAATGAGATACCATCTCATCCTAGTTAGGATGGCTATAGTTAAAAAGACAAAAAATGACAAATGTGGGCCAAGCTATGGAGAAAGAGATCACGCAAATACTCTCAAGGCTGGAATGTCAATTAGTAGAGCCACTGTGGAAAACAGTATGAAGCTGCCTCAAGAAATGAAAAACAGAACTACCATATGGTCAAGCAATCAAACACTAGATATTTATCTAAACAAAATAAAATTGGTATATTAAAAGACACCTTCACTTTTAGGTGTATTGCAGGATTATTCACAACAGCCAAAGCCAAAATAAGGAATCAATTGAAGTATTCATTGGAAGAATGAATAGATAAGGAAAATAT